CTGGTAAAAATCTCAGGATGGTTTTAGACTCTGACTTCAAGTTTGACAAACAGCTCAACTATGTTCTGCAGAAAAGCTTCTTCCTACACAGACAGGTAGCTAAGCTCAAGCCAGTGTTGTCCAGACCCGACCTTGAGAAACTAGTCCACGCCTTTTCACAACCCGATTAGACTATTGCAATGCACTGTATACTGGGATCAGCCAGGCCTCCATCTCACGTCTTCAGCTCGTCCAGAATGCTGCTGCTCGGCTTTTAACCGGAACTCGTAGGTCTGAACATATTACTCCAGTTCTGTCCTCCCTTCACTGGCTCCCTGTTTGTACGAGGATAGTCTTTAAAATTCTTCTGTTGACTTTCAAATGCTTAAATGGCCTCGCACCCCTTTACCTCTCTGAGCTTCTGGAACCTTACGTTCCCTCTCGGGCCCTGAGATCATCTGATCAGCTGCTTTTGGCTGTTCCAAAAACAAGACTGAAGCTCAGAGGAGATCGGGCTTTTTCAGTAATGGGCCCCAAACTCTGGAACAACCTGCCCTCAACATCAGGCAGGCCACCTCCCTTCCTCACTTCAAATCCCTGCTAAAAACACATCTGTTCTTGCAGGCATTTCACACGGTGTAAATTGATCTAGTGTTTTTTAATCTGTGACCCTATGTTTTAAATGCTTTTTATTAATTGTTCAGTTATTATTATTAGTGTATTGTACATATATGTATATATTTTTTTTTCTCTTTAATTTACTCATTGATTGTTGTTGTTGTTGTTGTTAATCACTTTGATAACAGGTTCTGTTTTAAATGTGCTCTATAAATAAAGTTGACTTGACTTGACTTGACTTCTTTTTTTTAAAATAAATTGGAACAAAATAGCAACCAAAAGGAAAATCAAGAGGAATAGTAACAAAAAACAGCTAGATTATAAGGTGATGTAGAAAAATAAAAACAGGAACATGTCAGCGTTGGTTCTTGCAGGAACTTATCAGATGTTTTAAACCACTTAGAGAGGTCAAGGTCGAGAGCTTCAGATCTTTTTGCAAAATATCCCAGGAAACAGGAGTGGAGTAGGAGAAGGTCATTTTGCCTAGTTCAGTCCTCACTGAGGGAACACTGCATGTAATAATCGTCTCGCCTCTTCTGCGGCATGTCTATGTCACTATGTGCTTGTTTGTGCGAGGTGTTTTTTAATATCAGAGTTTTTCTTCTCTGCCAAGAAGAAAAAGTCTGATAGGAATTTTGTCGCCTCCAATTCCTACATGTGTCCAGTTTCACTACTTTTTGTCTGTCTAAGCAGATCTCACTTGTAAATGAGTCATTTAGGCTCCATGTGACTTATCTGTCTAAATAAAGGTTGAATGAATGAATAATGTCCTGAGAGCGCACGCTGTAGCTGCACTCACGCAGAGACATGTAGGAGAAGATGTATGAAGGCAGCAGACCAAGAAGTGACTTAAAGATGAAAATGTACCAGTGGGAGAGTCTGTGTGAAGTTAATGATGACCAGTTAACCAGTGAATACTGGGTGCAGTGGTGGGTATGGTAGTTACAACCAGTTATGAATCTTAGTGCACCGTGATAGACAGCATTCAACATCTACAGGGTTCTTGTAGGAGCGTTCATGTACAGGTCCTTCTCGAAAAATTAGCATATTGTGATAAAGGTCATTATTTTCCATAATGTAATGATAAAAATGAAACTTTCATATATTTCAGATTCATTGCACACCAACTGAAATATTTCAGGTCTTTAATTGTTTTAATACTGATGATTATGGCATACAGCTCATGAAAACCCAAAATGCCTGTCCCAAAAAATTAGCATATCATGAAAAGGTTCTCTAAACAAGCTATTAACCTAACCATCTGAATCAACGACGTAACTCTAAACACCTGCAAAAGATTCCTGAGGCTTTTAAAAACTCCCAGCCTTGTTCATTACTCAAAACCGCAATCATGGGTAAGACTGCCGACCTGACTGCTGTCCAGAAGGCCATCATTGACACCCTCAAGCAAGAGGGTAAGACACAGAAAGAAATTGCTGAAGGAATAGGCTGTTCCCAGAGTGCTGTATCAAGGCACCTCAGTGGGAAGTCTGTGGGAAGGGAAAAGTGTGGCAGAAAACGCTGCACAACGAGAAGAGGTGACCGGACCCTGAGGAGGATTGTGGAGAAGGGCCGATTCCAGACCTTGGGGGACCTGCGGAAGCAGTGGACTGAGTCTGGAGTAGAAACATCCAGAGCCACCGTGCACAGGCGTGTGCAGGAAATGGGCTACAGGTGCTGCATTCCCCAGGTCAAGCCACTTTTGAACCAGAAACAGCGGCAGAAGCGCCTGACCTGGGCTACAGAGAAGCAGCACTGGACTGTTGCTCAGTGGTCCAAAGTACTTTTTTCGGATGAAAGCAAATTTTGCATGTCATTCAGAAATCAAGGTGCCAGAGTCTGGAGGAAGACTGGGGAGAAGGAAATGCCAAAATGCCAGAAGTCCAGTGTGAAGCACCCACAGTCAGTGATGGTCTGGGGTGCCATGTCATCTGCTGGTGTTGGTCCACTGTGTTTTATCAAGGGCAGGGTCAATGCAGCTAGCTATCAGGAGATTTTGGAGCACTTCATGCTTCCATCTGCTGAAAAGCTTTATGGAGATGAAGATTTCATTTTTCAGCACGACCTGGCACCTGCTCACAGTGCCAAAACCACTGGTAAATGGTTTACTGACCATGGTATTACTGTGCTCAATTGGCCTGCCAACTCTCCTGACCTGAACCCCATAGAGAACCTGTGGGATATTGTGAAGAGAAAGTTGAGAGACGCAAGACCCAACACTCTGGATGAGCTTAAGGCCGCTATCGAAGCATCCTGGGCCTCCATAACACCTCAGCAGTGCCACAGGCTGATTGCCTCCATGCCACGCTGCATTGAAGCAGTCATTCATGCAAAAGGATTCCCGACCAAGTATTGAGTGCATAACTGAACATGATTATTTGAAGGGTGGCGTTTTTTTGTATTAAAAACACTTGTCTTTCATTGATGGGATGAAATATGCTAATTTTTTGGGACAGGCATTTTGGGTTTTCATGAGCTGTATGCCATAATCATCAGTATTAAAACAATTGAAGACCTGAAATATTTCAGTTGGTGTGCAATGAATCTGAAATATATGAAAGTTTCATTTTTATCATTACATTATGGAAAATAATGACCTTTATCACAATATGCTAATTTTTTTAGAAAGGCCTGTAAATAATGTCACCGTAATCAATGGAGGGAAGGAAAGTCACTGATACAAGGTGTTTCCTAACATTCAGAGTTAGACAGGATCTGTTTCTGAAAAAGAAACCCAGTTTAACTTTCAGTTTCTTTACTAGGTTTTCCACATGAAGCTTAATGATGTATGTACTGTATGTATGTATGTGTTGATGTTGATGATGATCATGATCATGATGAAAGGATGGATGGATGGATGGATGATGGATGATGATAGATGGATGGATGATGATGAATGGATGAAGGATGGATGGATGGATGGATGGATGGTTGATGGATGATGATAGATGGATGGATGATTGATGGAAGTGTGGATGAATGGCTGGATGGATGATGGATGGATGGATAGATGTTACTAGAACTGCCTTCTTCCACCTGCGTAATATCACTAAAATTAGAAACATCTGATCTAAAAATTATGCAGAAAAACTGGTCCATGCATTTGTCACGTCTAGACTGGACTATTGCAATGGTTTATTATCTGGGTGTCCAAATACTTCTTTAAAATGTCTTCAGTTGATCCAAAATGCTGCTGCCAGAGTCTTAACTGGAGTTACTGGGAGAGATCATCTCTCTCCAGTTTTAGTTTCTCTCCATTGGCTCCCTGTCAAATCCAGAATTGAATTCAAAATCTTACTTCTAACCTACAAAGCTCTCAACAACCTGGCTCCATCTTATATTACAGATCTTATTGTTCCATATTTTCCTAACAGAGCACTTCCCTCTCAGGCTGCAGGTTTACTTGTGGTTCCTAGAGTTTCCAAAAACAGAATGGGAGGCAGATCTTTCAGTTTTCAGGCTCCTCTCTTGTGGAACCAATTTCCAATCTCTGTCCGTGAGGCTGACACATTATCCAGCTTTAAAACTAGGCTTAAGACTTTCCTTTTTGCTAAATCCTATAGTTAGGGTCAGCTTGGGTTTCCTGAGCTGTCCCTTAGTTATGCTGCTATAGGCTTAGACTGCTGGAGGACAAACTAACCACACTTTTCACTCTGCTCCTGTCTATTTACTCTGCTCAACCTGTTTTGTATTTGTAATTATTTTTTCTATCCTCAACATGTTTTTGTTTTTCAGGGACACCTGGACCTATATCTGGACCTGGACCTATATCTGGACCTATATCTGGACCTACCATTCTGTGTTCGTCTGTCTCTCCTTCCTGTCCTCTCAAACCAGCCGGTCAAAGCAGATGGCCGCTTGTCCTGAGCCTGGTTCTGCTGGAGGTTTCTTCCTGTTAAAAGGGAGTTTTTCTTTCCACTGTTGCCACTGTGATTGCTCAGGATGGGAGACTGCAACAAAGTCAAGATTCAACTTGTCTGCTGGATTTCTTAGATAGAGAACTTTACTAATTTTCTTTTCTATGTATGTGAATGTTTCTGTAAAGTGCCCTGAGACAACTTTGTTGTGATTTGGTGCTATATAAATAAACTGAATTGAATGGATGGTTTTAAGCTGTCCACATGAGAACACCAAAGTGTTGTTGAAGAATTTCCTCACTCTTGAAGCTGTTTGGAGATGTTTTGTTTGGTTGATTCTCTGGAACCGTTTTTGAGAACACATGGCTCAAACCATCAACAAATCTTAGCATGTGCACTGTAACGCTGTGTGTGTGTGTGGAATGGGCCTTGGTGTGTGGACCGGGCCTTGGTTCTGTTAGTGTGTGGACCCGGCCTTGGTTCTGTTAGTGTGTGGACCGGGCCTTGATTCTGGAGGTTGTAACTATGGGTCATTCTGACAGGTACCTTGTTCCTCCACCTCTGTCTGCAGCTCTTCTGAAGCTGAAAGAGACAACAGGAAGTGCAAGTTCCTTGAAGTGTTCACAAAGAATTGGATCAAACAGATCTTTTGCAACAGTTTCATTTCAGCCTTGTTTACGGTCAGAAATGGCAACACAGAGTCAAAATGAACACAATTGTAATTGTTGGACAAAATGTTGTCATGCTTACGATGGGGATCTCCATGAGTGACCAGAAACTCCAGCATCTTGTTCATCGCCCCCATGAAGAAGATGAGCCTCAGCTGAGTGATGGCCATGGCCAGAACGCTCCACAGAAAGACGGGGGAACAGATAGAATGGGAGAGAGGTACTGGAGCTGGACGAGAGACAAAAAGACACCAACATGCTGGTTGTTTGAAGGAGAGTACAAGCTTTGACCATTTAGTTCATTTATTATCAGGAGGGACCAGCTTTGACAATTTCGTCAGTACAGCTTCCATTAAAGCTGTAAAACGAAACTGCTATCTATCTCTGATCAGCAAAATTCTAAACAATCCTAAGAGCTTCTGGAAAACTTTTAACTCTTGATGGCAGCACTCACTCATCTGACCTGCTGCCACCACAATTATTTGTCGACTCTGCTCCTGTGTCAGAGAAGCATGAGATACTAAATTGTTTCAACAAACATTTTGTTGCCTCCAGTTCCTGGTCTCTGGGGAAACGCTGAGTCGCTGGTTGCCGCGATGGGAAGGACTGTTCTCTGGCGGGAGGGGCTGGTGGCGGAGCGGGGCAGGAGGAAACTGCTGCAGCTGTGGAACGTCTCTGCTGCTGCCTCTGGCCATGACGATCTCTCCAGTGGGCGGGGGGTAGGAGGAGGGGTGCAGCTTCATCAGGTGGTGCACAGTCTCCGACACCTCCTCCGTCTTCTTTGACTTTTCAAGCATGACCTTGAAATTGGCCCCGAACAGTGCATCCGTCGTGATGGGGCCCTCCAGCAGGTCTTTCTGTAGTTTCTCCGGCAAGAAGGGTGAGTGTCAGAGCCAGGTGGACCTCTGGATCATTGTCATCCAAGCAGCGATGCAAGACAGGCAGTCTGCAGAGGAGGCGCCCAGGTTGAGGATGACGTCAGACGCTTTGCAGAGTGAGCTCCTCATCTCCTCAGGCAGGTCTGTGTCCTCCAGTCTTTTGGAGATGCTGTAGGCCAGCAGGGTGACATTGTTGTTCACTGCGGCCACCTGGAAAGCACACTGATGGGCTCGATTGGAGAGCAACGTCACCTTCTTGTCGTGTCTCCCTGGAGGGACAGGACGTTGGTCCAACCTGGACACTTTTGCTCCGAGTGCTTCCACCAGGCTTGGCTCCCGGGGGGGGGGGGGGGGGGGGGCAGGTAGGGCTCCCCGCCCCGGCGCACCACCCGCCGAGGGGGGGCGGGGCGGAGAGGTGGGGGAGGGGGTGGGGGGGGGTGGGGGGGGGGGGGGGGGGGGGGTACCGAAGGAAAGTTCCACTCAGTAAACCCCTCCACTCTGGTGATGTGAGCAAAGGTGGAGACGGGTGCCTTCAGCTTACCAGGTCCGGCTGCAGCCTCGTTCCAGTAGGACGTCACTGCTGGGAAACGAGGCCAGATGGGATCAGGGCGGCGAGCCAGGGTGCAGCCAAACCTTCCCGCTAGATCATCCGATCTGGGTGGGGGGAGGAGAGGGACGGAAAGTCCCTTCGTGTCAGCCACCTCCTGGACTATGCCGGGCAGTTCCGAGAGGAGGGCACCGATAGCTGGGAGCAATGTGTTCACTGATGCAGAAAGGCCCGGGGGGGGGGGGGGGGGGTTTGAGCATCTGCTTGGCCCCCCCTGTTCCAACACTACACTCTCCAGGAGGGAATGAGCAGTGGAGCTGCTACTGACGTCGCCTGTTCTGGAAAAATCATCCGATTCGCTCAGTGACTCGGCATCAAAAAAGGCGATGGCGTCGTCCAGCGAACAGTCCCCCATCACGGAGAGGCACTCCGCGATGTTAGCCTTGAACAAGGCTGCTCGCTTCTGCCTTTCCTCAGGAGGGAGGAGGTCACAAAGACGTCAGGAGGAGGCGAGGTCAGCGTGGCGGGGACCCAGGCATCCTTCACATATGTCATGCCAGTCGAAACTTAGCATGTAGCCGGTCTTGCAGGACGAGCACAGGCAGATGGTGCTGGTGTTGGACATCGTTGTTCTTGTAAAAAACAGTGCTGGTTGCTTACTGAAGAAAAATGGGAGTCGATTACCTGGTCTCACCGTAATTTATATGGACCGGGGGTGAGGCCCACACAGCAGGTGGGCGTGGACTAAAGTTTTCAGTGCTGCGCTGCGCGTGACGCAATAAAACCCACTAGCGACAGCTTTAAAGGGCGAAGCCTATACAAAATAGAACAGTGTTGGTGTTACTATTATTGAAGGGAGGAGACCTCACTGTACTGAACAATTATCCACCAATCTCCAAACTCTGTATTTTAGCTAAGGTCTTAGGCTCTATTTACACGGACACGCCGGGGGAAGCGTAGGTTTTATCAGATGTTAATTTGAGGAAAAGATCAACATTAAAATGACCTAATTTTGTTTTTTTTTCCTGCAAACCTCTCAATTGGAAGGATCAGCTGGTCTCTCAACAAAATCGATCAACTTCTCCCGACAGGAGGCAGGGTAAGGAGGACTCTCTTACCTCGACGGAAACAAATTGGATTCACGATGACAACTGGTTATTTTGCTGTTTGGGTTGGTGAAATCTTGGATTGTCTACAAATTTGTGTGGATGTGTTGAAGCTCGACAGTGCTCAGACTGAATGTAGGAAGCTGCAACAGGGAGTTGGAGCAGCTGTTATCAGGACTGTGAACTTTCTGGCAGCACTCATGAATGGTGGGAATAATCTGGAGAAGCTGTGAGCTCGACTTTTGGAGTAAAGGATCAATTCGGCTGTTTTGGAGTTCCATCAGAGGATATGTACCAGCGAGACTTTAAAAAGGCAGAAACAACAATTCATGAGTTCTGCCAGACCCAAACTGTGGCCTTGATGCCGGACTTATCTCAACTCCTCCTGGAATGTTTTGAAAACAACAAAGATGCTTTGACTGTTTCCTCACCCCTCCCTTCCCCAAGGCCGTGGATATGTAACAGAACCAGAAAGCGACAAGGTCCTAGAGAACTGGCATGTCCAGCTCAGACTCACACTGTGGGGTACGTCATGGATTCATGGGGAGTGTGGCAGATGATGTGTCTCTCAGTCCTGTCTCAGGAGGATGTTGAAGACGTTTACATATTTGGAATTATGAAAGCAGGGACTCTGCTTTTTGGCATAGGTGGGGCTCTGTTTTATCGAATTTTGAAGAAGACGGCGGGAGCAGTTTCGGCCATGGAAAAGCTTCCGAGTCAGTGTGAAGGTCTGGTCCTCGCTGTGGAAACTTGAAATCGTCTGGTTCACGAGCTTAACCGAAAGGTGGAGGCGATTGAGAATCGCAGGCCACCTGCGGCTTCTGGGACTCGTCAGCGTGGTGTGTTCGACCTTGAAGGAGACTCATAGCATGGATCAGTGGAATGGAATCCCACAATTAGGCATTTTTGGAACCAGAACGCTCAGATGGACTCAAGGCTGAAGAAAAAAGTAATCTCTGCCTGAAGAAA